TTTGGACCCCTACAAGCAGGCAGTCACAGTACAATTTGGGAACTTCGCTAAGGGGGAGGCAGATTTAGGCACTCTCAGGCAGTCTGCTAATGTCTCAGCCCCTACTGTAGGGCAGAGAAGTCTAGCCTTGGCAAAATCGGAGGGGCCTCACGTGGTCCCAATGCAGGGGGTTGGGCATGGGATGATTTGGGGTGCTCACCACCACATGAAGGCCGGTTCCAGGCACAGTCTGCTCAGGTCTCAGCCCCTACTGTAGGTAGAGAGGTCTAGTCCTGGCAAAATCAAGACTTATTTATGTGTATGTGCACCACATGTATGCTGGTGACCTCAGAGGACACAAGAGGGTGGGGATCCCCTGAAACTGGAGATATAAGCTGTTGTGGGTTTGGAGAACGAAACCACCCAGGTCCTCTACAAGAACAGCAAGTTCTCTTAAAGGCTTGCACCATTTCTTTAGCCCACAACTAATATTTTCTTTAATTTTTATTTTATGTGTACGAGTGTATTGCCTGCATGTATGTGAGTGCACCCATGTCATGCAATACCGTGGAGATCAGAAGAGGGCTTTGGATTCCCCTGGAACTGGAGTCAAGGATGGTTCATAGCCACCTTGTGGGTGCTGGGAATCGAACCCAGGTCCTCTGTAAGAGCAGTCAGTGCTCTTAACCGCTGAGCCATCTCTCCAGCCCCTACAACTAATGTTTTTGAGATAAGTTTTCATTAAGTAGCCCAGGCTGGCCTGAGAGTCTCAGCAGTCCTCCTATATCAGCCTTCAGAATGCTGGAATTACCACTGTGTGCCACCATGCTGGCTTCTTATTTTTTCATTTTTGAAAAGGTTTATTTTCATTTTGTTCTTTGTGTGTATGACTGTTTTGCCTGTATGTATATATGTGCACCATATGCAAAGAGTACCTGCAAAGACCGGATTCCACATAACTGGAGTTACAGACAGTTGTATGCTGCCATGTGGGTGCTGAGACCTGAATCCATGTCCTCCTCTAGAGCAGCAAGTACTGTTAACCACTGAGCTCTCTCTCTAGTCCTTTCTTTTTCTTTTTTGAGACAGGGTCTTACTATGTATCTGAGACCAGCCTCAAAGTCTCAATAATCATCCTGTCTCAATCTCCAGAGTGCTGAAATTACAGGTGTGCCCCACTAAGCTGGCTTCTTCTTCTGGTGGTCATAGGCATGGAAACCCAGGGTTTTGTGCATGCTAGATAAGCAGTCTGTGACTGAGCTACATCTTTGCATCCAGTGCAGCTTGACACAAAGTGGGCAGAGGAAACGCTGGTTAGGAGAGTATGACATTCATGCATAGGAAAAAGAGGTTCAAATTCAATTGCCTCAGGAATTAGCCAGATAAGAAAATTAGTAATGTTGGGATCCACAGATTTTGGGGAGCTTTTATGTGCCTATTGGAAACATTAATAATATCCAGATCATTAACACACTATGGAAACCATATCTGAAGGATAAACAACTTGAAGATCATGCTTGAAACCCATCTGGGAGTGGTGCCACAGCTATACTGTCCATGCATGGAAGGTGGAGGCAGGAAGATGAGGCGCTCCAGACCAGCTTGGGGTACATGAAACCCTATTTATAACAATTTTTAAAAACACTGAGTATAAAAAATCATAGTGTTTTTAGTCTTTTATTTATGTGTATGAGTGTATTGCCTGCATGTGTGTAGGTGCAACTGTGTCATGCAATGTCCTTGGAGGTCAGAAGAGGGCGTTGAGTTCCCCTGGAACTGGAATTACAGATGGTTGTTATCTGCCATGTGAGTGCTGGGAATTGAACTCCTCTGCAAGAGCAGTCAGTGATCTTAACCACTGAGCCATCTCTCCAGCCCCATATTTAATGTTTTTTTTTATTTTTTAAAAATTTTTATTTTTATTTTATGTGTACGAGTGTATTGCCTGCATAATATGTGAGTACATCCAATTTGTGCAATGCCTCAGAGGTCAGGAGAGGGTGGCCAATTCCACTGAAACTGGAGTTAAGGTCGGTTTTTGGCTGTCATGTGGGTACTGGGAATTAAACCCCGCCCGGGTCCTCTGCAAGAGCAGTCAGTGATCTTAACCACTGAACCATCTCTTCAGCTCATACATTTAGTGTTTTTAAAAAGAAACTGGCCAGGCGTGGTGGTGCATGCCTTTAATCCCAGCACTTGGGAGGCAGAGGCAGGCGAATCTTTGTGAGTTCAAGGCCAGCCTGGTCTACGTAGTGAATTCCAGGAAAGCTGGGGCCAAAAAGAGATCCTGTCTCAAAAAAAAAAAAAAAAAAAAAAAAAGAGAGAGAGAAAGAAAGAGACAAACTGGACATGGTGGCTCACACTTGAAATCCCAGCACTCAGGAGGCTGGAGGATTGCTTGTGAGTAACAGGCCAGCCTATGCTAGAGTGAGACACTGTCTCAAAAAGCCAAATAAAAAGTTATGCATTGGCTGCAAACAGAAACCTCCTGTTTATGTCTCTGACCTCATGTTGTCCCCAGTCTAGGTTTCAGACAGGTACCTGAGGTGCTTTTGGAAAGCCCCAGGGAACAGTGGCCAGGACAAGTAATCATGTCCATTTGTATCAAGCTGCAAAATCAGGATTAAGTGGCAGATCCTGACTGTCGTCAGACAACCTACATCTCAAAAAAGTGGGGTTTCACTAGGTTTAATACAGATGAAGTTGAAGACCTGGTAGCTGAGAAGCAGCTCATCCCTGATGACTGTAGGGTGTAATATGTAACCAGTAATATATAGCCAGTTGTAGTCCTTGGACAGCTAGCAGGCTCTGCACTCATGAGGGCTTCCATACTGCTGAATCTTCTACCCTACCAATGATATTAACTAATAAATCTTATATGCAATCAAACAAGTAAGACCCTCCAAAAGCCAAGAAAAGAGCCAGGTGTGATGGCATATGCTTGTAATCCTGGCATTTACGAGGTAGAGACAGAAAGATCAGGTGTTCAAGACCAGTCTTGGCAACATAGCAAGTATGGGGACAGGCCTGAATTACACAGTATCTTTTCACAAAAAAACAAAAAGCAGGGGGCTGGAGAGAACACTGGTTGTTCTTACAGAAGACCTGGGTTTGAATCCCAGCACCCACATGGCAGCTAAGAACTGTCTGTAACTCCAGTCCCAGGGGATCCAACAGCCTCTTCTGACCTCTGTGGGCACTGCATGACATGGGTGCACTTACCTATATGCAGGCAATACACACATACACTAAAATAAAAATTTTAAAAATTAAAAAGCAGGCAAGGGTGTGGTAGTGTAGCCTTTAATCCCAGCACTATAGAGGCATAGTGAGGGGCTATAGGGAGACTCTTATCTCAAAAAAAAAAAAAAGAAAAAGAAAAGCTAAAAAAAACTTTGAGAACTTGAAATACAGTCACTGTGTGTGGTTCTTCACAGCTTTCAGAGCAATTTTACATCAGGAACTCTATTCTCACTTGACAGATGAAGAACCTGAGGCTCAGGGAGATGAAATAGATTCCTCAAGGCCACAATAGCAAGGAATTAGTAGCAGACTCTTAGGGTGATGGGAGGAGGGGCTAAAAATACGTGCCAAGCAAGTGCAGTACTACTGAGCTATATCATCAGTATCTCACTCTTTTTAGATTTACTTTCAATTTTTGTGTACATATGTGTGCCTGCATGGTTTATGTGCACCAGAAGCATGCAGGTGCCCCTGGAGGCCAAAAGGCTAGAGATCCCCTGGAACTGGAGTAACAGGCAGAATTGCCGTGCCATCTCTCCACATGGCCCCTATCATTCACTTTTCAATCAACAAAATTTTCACATGTAAAATGGAACCAACAGTAAAGAGATAAAGTGGTGGTGGGGGCTGAATGAGGCTTTAAATTTTCTTATTATTTTTTAATTTTTATGTGTATGAGTGTATTGCCGGCATGTGAGTTATTGTATGAGTGTTTTGTATGCACATATGTAAGTGAACCCATGTTGTGCAAAGGCCTAGAGGTCAGAAGAGGGCATCGGATTCCCTAGAACTACAGTTGGTTGTTTGCCACTATGTGGGTGCTGGGAGTCGAACCCAGTCCTTTGCAAGAATAGCCAGTGCTCTTAACCTCAAACCATCCCTCCAGTCCAAACCTTTTTTTTTTTTTTAACCTAAAAAACATATTTTCTTCTGCATCCAGGAGAGCTTTTATTTGAATGGAACAGTTTTACACATCTCTCAAAAACAGCTCCATCCCCAATACCTTCAGTACACAAAATAAAAACTAAAAACAGCCCCCCAGAAAGATATATAGACAAAGTCAATCATAAAACTCAAAGAAAGGGGGCTGGAGAGTTGGCTCAGCGGTTAAGAGCACTGACTGCTCTTGCAGAGGGCCTGGGTTAAATTCCCAGCACCCACATGGCAGCTACGAACCATCCTTAACTCCAGTTCCAGGGGAATCTGAAGCCCTCTTCTGACCTCTGAGGCATTGCATGACACCGGTGCACTCACATACATGCAGGCAATACAGTCATACACATAAGATTTTTTTAAAAAAACTCAAAATAGGGGCGTCTCCATTGTTTTAAGAACTGTCAGAAATTTACTACTGTGTCAAACAAAAGTTGTTAGGAACAAACAAAAGGATAGTCACTGATAGGATAGTCAGATGGCAACAGTAGTGTGTTATATTGAACACCCAAGGATACTGGATGTTGGAGTGATGTAGAGGCAATCAATGTCTTGTAAAGACTGGATAAAAACATTTTTATAATTTATTTATTTAATGTGTATGAGTGTTTTGCCTGCATATGTAAGTGCACCCATGCCATGCAATGCCCCTGGAGGTCAGAAGAGGGCACTGGAACTCGAGTTAAGGACAGCTGTTATCCACCATGTTGGTGCTGGGAATCAAACCCATATCCTCTGCAAAAGCAATCAGTGCTCTTAACTAATGAGTCATTCCTCCAGCCCCTAATTTTTTGGGATTTATTTATTTTTATGTGTTATGAGAGTTTTGCCTGCATACATGTAGATGCACCAATGTGTGCAAATTGGAAATTTGCCTGCAGAGGCCAGAAGAGGGCATCAATCTCCTGGAACAGGACTTAGGGACAGTTGCCAGCCACCTTGGGGATGCTGGGAACCAAACCAGGTCCTCTGCAAGAGCAGCCAGTGCTCTTAACTGATGAACCAACTGCTGAGCCTATTTCAAAAAAGTAATTTTGATATAGTCTTGCCATGTATCACTGACTGGGGCTGCTACTTGGTGGTGTACCCCGGGCTGACCTGGGACTAATACCTAACCCTCCTGCCTCTGGCACATGGCCTCTGTCACTGTGGCTAACCCGAGTCTCTTTTGTAAAATATAAAACTATTTGGAGTACTGTTAGAACTAAAAAGATAATGCACTGCGTGGTATATGCACTCAACAGCTCCCTCCTGCTGATGTGTTCATAGAACAGTGCGATAGAAATTCACTATCTGGCATCGCTGGTTTTCTTAGCTTTGGTGCCTATTAAACCTGGTATTTCCAATGAAACAGTTGCATATATATAAAAAAAGATAATGCACAAAATAGCCTCATCAGTTGAAGGCAGATGTTATTCCTGTTCAATTCTGAGATGAGGGCATCAGATTTTTGTTTATTTTTTCTTTGTTTTGTTTTGGGATAGAGTCATACTACGTAGTCCTCACTGGCCTAGAACTCACTATGTAGACCAGGCTGGCCTTGAATTCACAAAGATCCATCTACCTCTGGGATTAAAAATGTGGACCACCACACCCAGCAGAAATCAGATTCTTAAGGGAGTTCTTAACGTGGGAAGTTTGCAAACCAGTGATAGAGGTGTATGGGAAATAGTGGAAAAACAGTGCTAGAAAAGTGAACTGCCATGAGAACCAGGAGGCCCAGGCTACACTGATAATTCGTTTCATTTCACCGGATGATCAGCGAAAAACAGAAACAAATAACCCTCCAAGGCCCAAAAGATAGTTCCAGTGGACAGTGGCAAGACGGCCGGGAGCCTCCCAGCCGACTACATCTCCCATGGTGCTTTGCGCCCCAGACAGCTTCTCTACGCCTGCACGTGAGCCTGCCCGCCCCTCCATCCTCTAGTTACTGTCTCTCGCGAGAAAACGGGCCACGCCGGCTATAGCGATAGCGAGCCTTGGTGGTTGTGGTGGTGGTGGTGGTGGTGGCGGCCAAGACGGCGGCGGCCATTTTGGTGAGGCCTCGGGAGTGGCGGTGGCGGGTCGCTTGGAGTAGTCTCCTCTTTCTCCAACCCACTGATCGCACCTCCGTAGCGTGACTGGAAGCAGCAGACGTACAGGGGTGGCTGTAGCCGCAGCCCCCAAGGGAATTTAAGGTCGTGAAGTCGGCGGGCGAGAGGGGGCCCTCCCCCCTCCTCGGCGGGAGGGGGGTGGTGAGCACGCCCCCGAGGACGCAGGTAAGGAGAGGAAGACAAGATGGCGGAGGCTCTTCAGTTCCCCCCTCCCCTGACGGGTGGCTGCGCGCGCATCTGTACTGTCGCCTCCTTCCCACCTTCCCGGGGTGTTGCGCGCGCACCTTCAGCCGGGGCCCTGAGGCCGGTGAGCGAGGCTGTCTGCGCGAGCCCATAGGGACCATAGGGGGGGTCAGGCCGGGTGGCAGCGGATCCCGGCGCGTCTCCTCGCCCCCTCCTGCCCTTCTGCGCACGCGTGCCTGAGTGAGCGAGCCCTGAGAGGACGGACTCAGGTGCACTTCTGCCCACCAGCCAGCCGGTCTCCCTGCGGGAGAGGGAAGAGGAAGGGGGGCGTGGGACGAGCAGTCGGGTCGCGTGCCCACCACATCCACTCAGGAGACTGGAGCTGGCGGCGGCGGCGACCCTTCCTTCCGCGGCCTTTTGCGGTCTGTTGGTGTGGGGGCTTGCCGACGGGCGTGGACACTGGACTTCCCATTCTGTGACCCATGCGTGTGGGTTTGGGTTCTGGCGGGAGCCCCCAGGCCGTGCGCGCAGCCGGCTCACTCCGCCTCCAGCCGCGCACGCGCGGGCCCCTCCCCCAGCCTGGCGCGCACGTTGGGTGGGGTGGGAGGTTGGGGGGCGGGGCTGTTGGGGTGGTGAAAACTTGGGCAGAGGTCAGGGGTCATGCTGGGTCACTCTGTTGGGGGCCGCTGGGAAACAATGCTGAAGGCTGGGGTCAAGAGTTCAGGCCTCTAGGGTTCCGTTTTTCTCTGGTCCTGGGAATGTTGTGGCTGGTGAATCCTGGCGGCATCGCACCGTAGTTAAGGAGTTGCCTTAAGCACTGAGCAAACACTTCCGGGCCTTGTGTGGGTTTACCCTGCCTGTTTCCGGCGCGTGGTTCTCAGTGGAGCCTTTCCTGCCTGCTGCCGGGTTTTTGTTTTTGCAGTGTCGCACTGTGTAGCCCTTGCTGCCTGTCTGCTTCTTAGCTGTTTCTGAAGTTCTTGGATGTCTCCTTGCCCGTTTGCTTACTGTTCTTGGGAATTCGGCCCTTATTCCTAAGTCCTCACTGAAAAGACAAGCAGGCTGCCAGGCATCTAGCGTTCTTTTTGTTTTGTTTTGTTTTTTTGTTTGTTTTTGAGACACGAGTTTCTCCATGTATTGATGGCTGGCCTGGAGCCCACCATGTAGACCAGGCTGGCCTTGCCTGCCTCTCCCTCCTGAGTGCTGGGAGTAAAGGTGTGTGCCACCAGGCTTGGGTAGCATCCCATTTTGGGTTTCTGGATGTGACATTTGTTTCTGGCTTGTTTTTGCCCTTCGTTCTGTGGTTGGTGTCTAATACACTTCAGCTTTTTAAACTTTTGTCTTCATCCCTGTTCTCATCTAGCACAATGCTAAAGTCCTGTGGAATTATCTTCACAAAACATGATTTACTTCCGTTTTTTTTTTTAAATTAGCAGTACTAGGGGGCAAACCCAAGGCCTCTCAGTGAACTGCAACTCAGCCCATTATTTCTATTTTTCTGAAGCATGAGGTTTTCCTACTCCTGTTGGATGAACTAACTTGGATGTACTTGAAAGTCTCAGAAAGCTGGCATAAATAAGTTTAGATGGGTATTAGCAAATGTGGAATATGGATTGGTTCCTCACTCCTGCTTTCCTCTCCTGTTTTAGGTGTGATTTCTCTCATTACGGCAGCACCGTGGAAGTGCAGACTTTCACAGGGGGTGTGGTCTCAGCTCACACAGGTGAGCTCACCTTCAGATAAAATTTTGTGTGCTGATACTAATGGGAGAAACTGTATGAGATCAATAGGTTAATATTTGTGTTTTTGTTCTGGAGAGTGGTGGGGATCTTTACATTTGAGTTTTCTGTGAAGGGTTTGATGATGGTGGTGTAACAATGGAATTGGGTCTGTGGGTGGATGATGTGGTCACCTTGGCACTACCATTGGGAATACTTAGAGTCCCAAGTTCAGTATTTTGGCAGGAGTCTGGATTTGTCCTACCACTTCCTTTTTTTTCCGAGACAGAATCTCGCATAGCTCAGGCTGGCCTCAAGTTCTTTATCTGTGTAACCTAGAATGACCTTGAACAATTCCAATCCTCCTGCCTCAGATGTGCTACCATGCCTTCCAATTTTATGTGGTTCTGAAGACTGAATCTAGGACTTTGTGCATGCTAGGCAGGCACTGTACCAAGTGAGCTACATGCTTAGCCCTATGTTTTGTTTGTTTTTAGGCAGGGTCTCAGTCTAATTCAGGCAGTCCTCCTGCCTTCACCCCTAAGGGCTGAGATTACAGGTGTGAGCCACCACACCTAGCATATTTCTTCTTTTAAGACAAGGTCTTAATACAGGCATAGCATCAGCTGGCTTGGAACTCGTGTGTGTAGACCTGGCTAGCCTTAAACTCAGAGATCTGCCTGCCTCTGCCTTTCTAGTGCTGGGATTAAAGGCATGTACCCTTTTTGAATGTTTGTTTGTTTGTTGTTTTGTTTTGAGACAGGGATGACCTTGAATTTCTGACCTTTCTGCCTCTATTACCCAAGCACTGAGATGGCAGATGTGTGCCACCCTGGTAGTTTTATGTAGTTTGGGGCTTGAACCCAGTACTTCATGAAAGCTAGGCAAGTACTCTACAAACTGAGCTACATCCCTAGCCCTGGAAAACAATTGTGGTTTTTTTTTTTTAATTTATACAATTTATATATGAGTGTTTTGCCTGTATGTATGTAGGTGCATCCATGTTGTACAGTGCTCATGGAGGCCAGAAGAGGGTTTCAGACCCCCCAGAACTAGAGTTATAGACAGTTGTAAGCCATTATGTGGGTGCTGGAAACCACTGATCCTCTGTCAGAGCAGCTAGTGCTCTTAACTGCTGAGCCATCTCTTCAGACCCTCTGAAAACAATTCTTAACCCCAGCTCTTGGAGGCTGAAGCAAGAGGATTTCGAGTTCTAGGCCAGCCTAGGCAATGTATCAAGGCCCCATCTATCTTTTTTGTTTGGTCTTTTTGATTCAGGGTCTCCCTGTAGCCCTAGCTGGCCTGGAACTCACTATGTAGACCAGGCTGGCCTTGAATTCATAGGAGATCTGCCTGCCTCTGCTAGGATTAGGCTGTATCTACCTTTAAAAGACAAGAAATTAAAGAAGAAAGAAAAAACCCACCACTTTAATACCCTTTAATTTTATTTCTACTCTTTTTGTCCAACTATAGGTGCTCCAGAGGCTGGTGGACCTGAGCGGAGGCTGGGACGCCCTGGTGGGCCCCGGGCCCTGGAAGGCAGGTCCCGGTGGCTGGTGGCCCAGAATGAGGCCAGCTCCCAGCATGCCCTGCAGCCGGACACCAGCCCCTCGGCCTGCAGCAGCGGTGATAACTCAGTCATTCTTCAGGCATCCAACAAGGAGCCTGGGAGTGGGACCATGCAGAGCAGCCCCTCCCCTGCTCATCCTCAGCTCCCAATCCTACAGACACAGGTTTGAAAGTGGGGAGGGTCCTTCTCTGTTTATGTTCTGTGGACTGATGGCGTATAGGCAGAACTGGTGTTATGTGTCTTACCTATCTGAATAGCTGAATTTGGACAGTCATCAGTGCTCAGATAGATTGACTGTGCCATGTCAAGCCTGTTAGATACTCAGGTTGTATTTCACATTAGCATAATGTTGATTTCTAAGAATGCAAAAGTTCTTTGTTACCTTAAAAAGGTAACAGGCTTACCTGTTAGGCCAGGCTGGAAATGGAGACTGGGCAAAATGCTTCAAAGACTAGGCTTCAAGAGTAGTTTAATTTCATTTGGAACTAGAACACAGAAAGATTTAACTGCAGCATCCTCTTACCAAGGAAATGTGGAATAGGGAAGAAATGTGGTTTTGAAAAGGTTTACATTTAATAGGGTTCTCCCCCCGCCCTTAATAAGACAGGATTTCTTGTGGGATTAGGTTGTAGCTTAGTTGGCAGAGTGCTTGCCTATCATGCACAAGGCCCTGGGTTGATCCCCAGCACTGCATATACCAGGTATGGTGGTGCACACTTGTTTTTGTTTTGGTCTTTTTGAGACAGGGCCTTCCTGTACCCCCAGCTGGCCTGGAACTCACTTTGTGGACCAGGTTGGCCTTGAACTCACAGAGATCTGCCTGACTCTGGCTCCCTAGTGATGGGATTAAAGGAATGTGCCACTTGTAATTCCAGCACTTGGAAGGTAGAAGCAGGAGGATCAAAAGTTCAAGATCATTTTCAGATACACAGGAAATTTCAGAGGCCCATCTGAACTACATGAGACACTTGTCTCAGAAAAGAAATACAAAGGGATGGGGTGGGAACTATGGGAGTGAGAGGGTGTATGGGGTGGGTCTTATCTCCTTGTGTACCTCAGGCTGGCCTCGAATTTGAAGCAGTCTTTCTACGTTAGGTTCTTCAGTGCTGGGATTACAGGCCTGCCCCACAGGCAGCTCAATTGATAGTTTATTTGCTGTATTGAAATTTGAACCTAGGGTCTCGTTCATGCTAGACAAACTCTTTACTAGTGAGCCACATTCCCAGACTTTCAAATTTGTTTCTGGGAATTGAGTGGCAGGGCTTTGCACATTCCAGATAAGCACTCTCACTGCTCCAGTGGATTTGATACTTAAATTTTTTCTTAGCAACTGGAAAACTTTGTGATATGTGCTCTTAGTCATTAGCCGAGGTAGGAATTTGGTGCATTGGGTGAATTCTGTGAACTTCTTCATTCTCCATATTTCAGTAGGACTTTATTGTCCAATTATTGCTTGTGTAGTCAGTACTTTGTAAAGTAATGTTTGAGCATTTGAGAAGCCAGTTCTAAACCCTGTATCCCCAGTGAAAAGATTAGGTGGTCTTTTTCTTGGTGTATAGTAGCTAGCTCAGATTCATTCTCCATAGGTGATTCTCATAATTGTGAGGAGGTGGATTGTATGATAGTCTTTTTTAATGTGAGTGAAATCAAGGTCCTGAAAGGATCATTAAAAATTGAAGTTATGGGCTGGGCGTGGTGGCGCACACCTTTAATCCCGGCAGAGGCAGAGGCAGGGAGATCTCTGAGTTCAAGGCCAGCCTGGTCCACATAGTGAGTTCCAGGACAGCTGGGGCTACAAGGAGACCCTGTCTCAAAAAGACAAAAAAAAAAGAAGAATTGAAATTATTATTCAAAATTGAAATTATTAAAGGTGTGTACCACCACATCTGGCAGTAATCCTTTTTTTAATACTGTTTTTTTGTGGTGTGGTTCTAGGGATAGAACTAGGACCTTGCATGTTCTAGGCAAGTGCTGTACCATTGAGCTACATCTCTAGCTTTGTAGTAGTCTTGAATTCTAAGTAGTTTTATGTGTTAGTATGTAACTCTTGCTTGTTAAATGTCTATTATAAAATTGGCTCTGCCATTTAAGCACCTTGTTAAAAACTTCATTTTTAAGCTAGGTATGGTGGTAAATGCCCATTATTTCAGCACCTGGGAGATGGATTGCAAGTTTCAGGGCAGCCTGGGCTACATAAGAAAACTGTCTTATGTCTTATAACAACTCCCTCAAAAAAAACAACATTTTAGGTGTTTGTGTTTATAAACATTAGAAATAAGCCAGGTGTGGTGGCACACGCCTTTAATCCCAGCACTTGGGAGGCAGAGGCAGGCGGATCTTTGTGAGTTCGAGGCCAGCCTGGTCTACATAGTGAGTTCCAGGACAGCTGGGGCTACAAAGAGACCCTGTCTCAAAAAAAGACCAAAAAAAAAAGAAATGAGAGTGATATCTTATTCTTAAGGTTTTTGTTGTGAAATAGAGCAGAATAATGTACTTAAAACATTTAGCACAATGCTTATCCATTTTCTCCATTATCTTCTCTTTTTCTCTAGATGGTGTCGGACGGCATGACAGGCAGCAATCCTGTGTCCCCTGCCTCATCTAGTTCCCCAGCTTCTAGTGGGGCAGGTGGCATCTCTCCCCAGCACATAGCTCAAGATTCCTCTCTGGATGGACCTCCAGGCCCACCAGATGGTGCCACAGTTCCTCTGGAGGGGTTCAGCTTACCCCAGTCTGCTGACCTGGTCAACAAGGGCCCAAAGTGGGAGAAGAGCCATGCAGAAATCGCAGAGCAGGCCAAACATGTATGTATTGGGAAGATACATGAAGATTCTTGGGAGTTATCTCTCATGTCTCATGGGTATTTTATGTGTCTTTGTTTATTGTCATGGATTTAGGGTGTGGGCTCCTTATTGCATCATCTTGAATATATTGCTTATTTTTATTTGTTTTAATTAATTTACTTATTTTGGTCATTCTGAGGCCTAATAGACCCAGAGTCTCATACTTGCTAAGCAAGTTTTCTTATCACTGAGTTCCACCCCGACTTTTTCATTTCCCTTTCAAAGTTGTGATGTCTGTTAAGATGTTAGCTCTAAAACTTTTTAGTTTTCTCCTTACACTGTTCTGGGGCTTGAACTCAAGGCTTTGTGTATATGCTAGGCACGTTTTCTACCATTGAATTATATCCTGAGCACTCTAACCAGATTTAAATTGAATGAGGAATTAAAGCCAGGTATGGTGGCTCTCATCCATAATCCCCAAACTGGGAGATGGAGTATTGGAAATTCAAGGCCAGTCTAGTTACATGACCCAGTTTGGGGGGTGGGGGGAGGGGAGAGGAAGTAAAGGCATAAGTGGCTACTTGTACCTGTAATCCCAGCATTCTGGGAGGTTGGGGGCAGGATTGAAGAGTTTGAGTAAGAGCAAGCCTAGGTTATATAGTGAGACACTGTTTCAAAACAAATCACCAAACAGAAAAGAAGGAAATGAAGGACTTATATATGAAAGTGCTTTGTACACTGTGAGGCTGTTAAAATGTACAACTTTCCAGCCTAGCCTGTTAAATTATCTGTTCAGTGCAGTTCTTGGGCTTACCAGCATCACTTCAGAGCTCAGTAGAAATGTATATTCTTCAGATCCCTATTCTCTGGATCCCTTTCCTTAAAACTTTGGGTTGGTGCCCATCAACCTTCATGCTTCTATAAATTGTGTGTATGTGTGTGTGTGTTTGAGACATGGTCTCCCATAGCCCCAGCTGGCCTGGAACTTGCTATATGTAGACCAGGCTGGCCTCGAACTCACAGTGACCTACGTGCCTCTGCCTCCCAAGGGTTGGGATTAAAGGCCTGTACTACCAGGCCTGACTGATTTTTTTTATTACTATTTTCTGTGTGTGTATGCATGTGTGCCCAGTCACACTCACATGCTACGGCAGTCAGAGGACAACTTTGAGTTCTCGCCTCCTACCTTTATGTGACTTCTGGGGATAGAACTGAGGTCACCAGGCTTGGGCAGAAAGCACCTTTACCTGATGAGTCATTTTGCTGTGCCTGCCCCCTTTTTATTTTTTTTTTTTTTTTTTTTTTTTCTTTTTGAGACAGTCTCCCTGTAGTCCCGGCTGACCTGAACTCACTATGTAGACCAGGCTGGCCTTGAGCTCACAGCGATCCACCTGCCTCTGCCTCCCAAGTGCTGGGACTAAAGGCATGTGCCACCACGCCCAGCCCCCTTTTTTTTCTAAGAGTCAACATCTCATGTAGCCTAAGCTGGCCTTGCACTATTTAAGTGAAGATGACCCCCTGATCTCCCCCATCCCTTTTTTAGACTATCTCTCCAGCCCTAGCTGTCCTGGAACTTGTTATGTAGACCAGGCTGGCCTCAGTCTCACAGAGATCTTCCTGCTTCTGCCTCTGCCTCCACCTCCCAAGTGCTGGGATTAAAGGCATGTGCCTCCATACTTGCTTTTATTAGTTTTATTGTGTGTAGGTGTTTGTCAAGTGTGTACATGTGTTTATATACATGTGGAGACTAGAGGTCAGTAACATTGGGTGTCTTCCTACATGAGTGCTGGGGATCAAGATCAGGTCATATACAGCAAGCACTTTTCCTATCGTGCCATCTCCCTACTAGGCCTAGTTTTGATTCCCAGTTCATCTATAGTTGTATGAGCTCAGGCAAATAATTTAATTTTCTAGATTTCCCTTCCCCCATCTGAACAGTCCAATACCTTCTTGAGCATAGAACACAGCCCAGTCAGTGCTCAGAATTCAGCCAAAGCATTGAGTTGTCATGTATGCCCAGAAACTGTTGATTGATGTCATTATCCTTTATTAGGAAGCTGAAATTGAGACTCGGATTGCTGAACTTCGGAAGGAAGGATTCTGGTCACTGAAGAGGCTACCTAAAGTGCCAGAACCTCCCCGCCCTAAAGGCCACTGGGACTATCTGTGTGAAGAGATGCAGTGGCTCTCTGCTGACTTTGCTCAGGAGCGCAGATGGAAACGAGGTGTGGCTCGTAAGGTATGTACTGAATTGGGTCTGCCTTCCATGTATTCTTCAGGTGTACTTTTGAAATCTTAATAAGGTGGATTAGTTGGAAGGTGGCCAAATGGAATGAGGAATGATCTTTTTTGGTGCTTATAGCATTAAGAGGCAGGCTCTTGACAGTCTTGGATTTCTTCCCCTTGATTTTCTTTACCCTTGGTTGGTTAGATGTGGAAATTAGTTTTGAACATTTTTATACTGGGCCTTTATTTCCATAGGTGGTGCGTATGGTGATCCGGCACCATGAAGAACAGCGTCAAAAAGAGGAAAGAGCTCGGAGGGAAGAACAGGCCAAGCTACGCCGAATTGCCTCCACCATGGCCAAGGATGTCAGGCAGTTCTGGAGCAATGTGGAGAAGGTTAGCAGTGGGAATTGGGAAAGAGAAATGGTGTTTGACTAGGTTAGAGGGTGGCATGCTAGGAACAACTGAAACTTGGCTGAAAAACTAAATGCTATAATTTATTATAACCTTTTTTTTTTCTGTCTTTTTGAGACAGGGTCTCCTTGTAATTTATTGCAACTCTTAATGGCATTTCCCTTGTGCATTGTTTGAACCTTTTCACCATTGAATACTGTAAGGAAAAAGGAAATTCTTGGACTCCCCACCTACTCAATTAAAACTCGGGGAGTGTGGCCTGCAGTCTGTTTTATAGTGATAAAATATGAGTGTGCCTTTGGGATCAATAGAACTCCTTGACCCCTCTGGGTCATCTGTTTTTCATAGGATATGAAGTGTTGCTTTTCCTAAAACACATTTGCTGTTTACCTGCTTAAATGCCATTAAAATTTCTACTGTTTATATATGAAATTGTAATTATTTCTGATGCCCTAGTCTTCCTCAGTATGCATTTATGATTGATTCTAGGACTCTCTGTGGGCACCCATTCTGGAGATGCTCAAATCTCATGTGTAAAATTGTGTAATGTTTACATACAGTCTATGGATCTCCGATTAAAGACTTTTGAATATCTCTAAATCATTTTTGATACCTCTTACAATGTATAAATGCTATAGGAATAGTAGTTACACTGTATTGTTTGAGATGGAGGTATTGTTACCCTTCACAGGTTGGTTTTTTGTTTGTTTTCTAGTTTTGAGACCCTGTATGTAGCCCATGTTGGCCTCAAATTTGCTGTGTACCTGAGGATGTCCTTGAATTCTTGATCCTCCTTGCTTCCACCCTTAAGTGCCTTTTAAATTTTGTTTCTTTTTTTTTTGAGATAGAGTGTCATGTAGACCAGGCTAGCTCTAAGCCCACCATATATCAAAGAGGCTGACCCCTTTGCCCCCTCTTTTTCACTAGTGCTGGGTTACAGACATGCCAGCACAACCAGAACCACAGGTCTAAACTCTGTGATCTTTCTTCACAGACTTCCACTCTTGGCTGCAATGTTTTTGTTTTGTTTTGTAGTTTTTGAGACAAGGTCTCCAATGTATTTCAGATGGGTCTGGAACTGACTTCAGTATCCTGAGTTCTGAGAATGGCTACTACTCCTCGCCTTAGAATTCTTTCAGGCAAAAAAAAATTTTTTTTTCCAAAATTTTTTAATTTATTTATTAATTGTGTGTATGTATGGGACAGGGTGGGAGGGAGGATACCATAGCACAAATGCGGATGTCACAAGACAATTTGCAGGAGTTGATTTTCTGTTTTGTAATTAACTTATTTTTTTATTTTATGTGTATGAGTGTATTGCCTACACATGTGTAAGTGCACCCTGTGTCATGCAGTCCCAGTGTAGGTCAAAAGAGGGCGTCATATTCCCCTGGAACTGGAGTTGTGGGTAGTTGTTAGCTGCTATCAGGTGTTGGGAACTGAACCCATGTCCTCTGCAAGAGTAGCCAGTGCTCTTAACTACTGAGCCATCTCCAGCCCTTGATTTTTCTCTTGTTATACCATGTGTGTCCTGGGGATTAAATACAGGTGATTAGACATCTTGCCACTCCATTTTTTTCTGTTCTTAAGACAGAGTTTAGTAAAAAATAGTCAAGATTGGCCTGGAACTCAGCCCAGGCTGTCCTTTAACTTGCAGCAATCCTTCTGGCTACTCAGCCTTCTAAGTATGGGCAACTAAGCCTGGTCAATTTTTGGTTTTGGTTTGTTCTTTTGAGGAAGTCCTACTATGTAGCTCTACCTGGTCTGGAACTCACTATGTAGTCCAGGCTGTTCTCAAATTCACAAAGATCTCTCTGCCTCGTACGTGCTGGGGTTACAGGCGTGAACCACCATGCTAAGCTTTAAGTTTTCTTCATTATATTTGTGTGTGTGTGTGTGTGTGTGTGTGTGTGTGTGTGTGTGTGTGCTCATGAGTGGAGATTGGGACAACTTAACAGAGAGTTGGTTCTCTTCTTCCCACTTCGTGGGTCCTGGAGATTAAACTCAGGTTGTAAGGCTTGGCAGCAAGTGCCTTTACCCACTGCGCCATCTTGCCTGCCTTCTGTTAATTTTATTGAGCCTAGGGCCTTGTGCTGTTATGTTTATACTTGGCCACTATACCTCCAGGCTTTTTTGAGTGTTTTTTTTTGAGGTTGATGCACATTACCTGACCGTTCAGACATGGTCTTTCTAGTTTTTCTTCTTGATTGTAGTTAGAAAGTACTTTTTTAAAAAAATTTTATACTGTAGTGAACATAGGGGCTTTGTGCATGCTAGGCAGGTGTTCTAGCACTGAGCTACACTGGAGGCCTACATACTTCTTTTTAAGATCCAGCTCCAAGTAGATTTGCCAGTCTTCTCCAGCCGCTTGATACTAAGCCTGTTTTTCTGCCTTTTGTTTGTTCCATTTCTGTTTTCTTCAGAAGTGCTGAATTAAATCATGAGCCCCTTCAGACTTTTTAGCTTTTCCTGAATGACCAGTCCAAAACCTGTCATAAAGGAAGTGTCCCTAAATAGTTGGCTAAAAGAGTATATAAGTAAATGTGTTAGTGACATCTCTTTTGTGATTGTGGTAGGTGGTACAGTTCAAACAGCAGTCCCGGCTTGAAGAAAAGCGCAAAAAAGCCTTGGACCTACACTTGGACTTCATTGTGGGACAAACTGAGAAGTACTCAGACCTTTTATCTCAGAGCCTTAACCAGCCACTAGCCTCCAGCAAAGCTGGCTCCTCCCCTTGCCTTGGCTCTTCTTCTGCAGCATCCAGTCCTCCACCTCCTGCATCTCAGCTGGATGATGAAGGTGTGTGTGTTCTTTGGCCCTGTTACTCCTCCCCTTGTGCCCTTTCCAGAGCTGAAAAACCCACCCTGTGGCTTGCAGGGCCCGTGGACTTTGTGACCTTGTTCTCCTGCTATAGATGGGGACTTCCAACCCCAAGAGGAAGAAGAAGAGGATGATGAGGAGACCATAGAGGTTGAAGAACAGCAGGAAGGCAATGATGCAGAGACCCAGAGGCGTGAGATTGAGCTGCTTCGACACGAGGGAGAACTGCCATTGGAAGAGCTGCTCCGTTCTCTCCCCCCTCAGCTGCTAGGAGGACCTTCTAGCCCCTCTCCCACCCCCTCATCTCATGATAGTGACACTCGTGATGAGCCTGAAGAAAGTGTTGAAGAGGAACCATCTCAGGTTTTGGAGGTATATACAGAAGAGGTAAGAAAATAAGATTCAGAGGGGAAACAGATGGAGAGTTTCAGGTCTAAGTCCTGGGCTTCAGTTTTGAGAGTCTAGGTCAAAGACAGGTAGAGTCTCTTGACTATCTAGGGGAAATGATGATTTGGGTCAAGTTATAGTCTACACTTAGCAAGATTTCTGATGCTGTCATGGAAGAGTTTATTGTACTTTTAAAGTTACCAGGTGAAGGCTGGGGAGATGACTCAGTTTGTAAAGTGCTGTGCAGGCATGGGGATGTGAGTTTAAACTTCAGTCCCCATGTGAAAAAGGCAGGTACAGTGGTGTATGCCTATAACCTCTGCACTTAAGAGGTAGAGACATGAGAATCCTTGGAACTTGCTGGCTAGTCAGTCTTGCTGAGTCAGTTTAGTGAGAGAGTCATTCTCAAAAAAATAGGGTGGAGAGTGATTGAGGAAGACATCAGTGATTGAGGAAAACATCAGATGTTGACCTCTGGCCCCCATTGGTGCATGCACATGTCCATACACAAACACATAAATACACATAAATTATTTGATCTTATTTTTCACTTTGTGGAATGACCTTGATGGTCCCATATTTGCTCATAATTTTGGAGTTGGGATGATCAACTTAAAGATCTCTTCTAGGGGGCTGGAGAGATGGGTCAATGGTTAAGAGCACTGACTCTTCCTGCAGAAGACTACGGTTTGAATCCCAGCACCCACATGGCAGCTAACAACCATCTTGTAACTACAGTTCCAGGGGTTCTGACACCCTTTTCTGTCCTCCGTGGGTACTGCACAGCACGGATGCACTTACGTACATGCAGGCATATTACTCATACATGTAAAGTAAAAAGACAAAAATCTCTTCTGGACCTTTGTGTATCTAGTTCTCATGTCTGAGTGTTGAGAGCCTTTTTTTAGAAAATACTTTTTATGTTTATGAATGGGTCTTTGGATTTGCTCATGTGAGTGCATACCTCTTGCAGGCCAGAAGAGAGCATTAGAGCCTCTGGAGCTGGAGTTACAGGCAGTTGTGAACCCCCTGACAGGGTGCTAGGAATTGAACTCAGGTCCTCTCTAAGAAGAGCTGCTAAGCCATCTCTTCAACCCCCTTTATACATTTTGCTTTGTTTTTCAGATAGTCTCCCTGTAGCCCCAGCAGGCCTAAAACTCACTGTGTAGACCACGTTGGCCTTGATCTCAAAGAGATCCACCTGCCTCTACCTCCTGAGTAATGGGATTAAAAGCATGTACCACCACACCTTGCTCCTCCTAGTTTTTGGTTTTTTTCGGGTGGGGAGTCTTTTTGAGACAGGGGTCTCCCTGTAGCCCCAGCTGTCCTGGAAATCACTGTGTACCCCAGGCTGGCCTTGAACTCAAAGAGATCCGCCTGCCTCCCGAGTGCTGGGATTAAAGGTGTATACCACCACACCCAGCTGTAGTATTTTAATTTTAAAAATTGAATAACTATTGTGTGTATGCACATGTACTCGTGTGTGTGTGTGTGTGTGTGTGTGTGTGCGTGCACGTGTGCGCGCACATGTGGTCAGAGGACAACTGTGGGGTTGATACTTACCTTTTACTTTTACATGGGTTTCAGGGTCATCAGGCTTGCAAGGCAAATGCCTTTATCCACTGAGCCATCTCTCTGGCTCCTTTTACTTCTTATCTAGCACTTTCACAGATCCTCCCTTAGTGGGGCCAGGATTTGGTAGCTGGTGCTGAGAGAAAACCCTTGATTACATCCTTGCCCTGATACTGTACCAGTGGCATATGTCTCTCAAGGGAACAGAGATGATTTTCTGATCTTTTCAGCTTTGTGTCTTTTTTCTGCTGCTTAAACGTTAAGTTCTGTCACTTTCCCATACAGGTTAAGCTCCCACCTTCCTCGGTCTCACATTGCAACAAACAGAGTTGGCATCCAGATGAAGATGATGAAGAGTTTACTGCCAATGAGGATGAAGGTCAGGCTTGTTCTCCTTTCCTTTTTTCTTTTTCTTTCTTTCTTTCTTTTTTTTTTTTTTTGAAAGGCAGAGTCTCATGTAGCCCAGGCTGCCCTTCAACTCATCATGTAGCTCAGACAGGCCTCAAACTGGTATCAGTACTCCTACCTCAGCTTCTCAAGTGTTGGGATTATAGGCAGAACTGTATCACTGTGTTCTGCTTCAGCCTATTCTCTTTATCATCCTATATCTGCTTGGATCTCTTAATTGTTTAGACCAAACTTTTTGAGCTTTTTTTTTTTTTTTTTCTGGTCTTTTTTTTTAATGTTTATTATTATTAACTTTTTTTTATGTGTATGCGTGTATTGCCTGCATGTAGGTAAGTGCACCCATTTTGTGCAATGCCTGCAGAGGATAAAAGAGGCTGTTGGATCCCCTGGAACTGGAGTTGTTCATGACAACTGTCCATGACAGTTGTTAGCTGTCATGTGGGTGCTGGGATTTGAACCCAGGTCTTCTGCAAGAACAGCCAGTGTTCTTAACTGCTGAGCCATCTCTCCAGCCCCTTTTTCTGGTCTTTTTGAGACAGGGTCTCCCTGGCCCCAGCTGGCCTGGAGTTCACTATGTAGACCAAGCTGACCTTGAGCTCACAGAGATCTGCCTGCCTATGGCTTCCTAGTGCTGGGATTAAAGGCATGCACCACCATGCCTGGCCCTCTCATTTCTTTCTTTTGGATTATAACCCGTGTCTCTGTCCCCATTGATCCTGCTTCATTCTTTTTCTCTCCTTTTTAAAAAAAAATTTTTTTTTAATTTTATGTGTATGAGTGTATTGCCTACATGCATGTTAGTGCACCAGTGCTGTGGAGAACAGAAGAGGGCATCAGACTTCCTGGAACTGGAGTTATGGATGGCTGTTAGCCACCATGTGGGTTCTGGGATTTGAACCTGGGTCCTCTGCAAGAACAGCCAGTACTTTTAACCGCTGAACATCTCTCCAGCCCCTTTTTTTGGGTCTTTTTGAGACATTAGCCTCAGCTGGCCTGGAACTCGCTATATAGACCAGACTGGCTTCAAACACACAAATGATCACCTGCCTCCACCTCCCAAATGCAGGGATTAAAGACAAGCACAACTATGCCCAGTTTTCTCTCTTTTTAAATTAATTTTGTTCTTTGACATTTTCATACATGTATTAAAATACATTCTGATTTATCTTCCACCCCTTCATCATCCCTATAAATCCTTTTCTTACCTTCATGTCCTTTTGTTTTGTTGCCCACTGAGTTTAACCATGCCATATATGTGACCATTCATTGGTTTTTGGTGGGCTCACCAGTGGATTCTCTTTTACAGCGGAAGATGAAGAGGATACCATAGCAGCTGAGGAACAGTTGGAAGGGGAAGTGGATCATGCCATGGAGCTGAGCGAGTTGGCTCGAGAAGGTGACAGACACCAGATATTTTGCTGAAAACCTACTTGTTGACTCCCCTGTGCAGAAAGTTAGGATAGAGAGATAAGTCAGATATTTTTATCTTCCTAGCTCCACTGGCTATTATGTATGTTCCTCATAACTTGTGTAGTGACAAAGACTTACAAAGGAAAGGAACCTAAAAGTAGAAAGTGATGCTTGTTTATGATGAAAGTTTGAATAAAGTGATAGCTCAGTGGAAGGAAGAGCTACTATAGCAGGATATTGATAATATTTGATCATAATTTTAAAAGGGAGGTTCATCAGGTTGATAGCTGTCCTCAACAGAAGGCATTACCTACTGTAGTTTTAGTTCAGATTATGAGGATTGGTTTTGTTAGCTGGTACCGAAAATAAACTGTCTAGTCTCCCTTTAGATCTGGGCCTGGGAGATCTAACCTAGGCAAAATAAACTGGCACCATTCAAATACCCCTTTCTACCTCCCTCAAAGGAACCAAAAACTTAACTCCTCATTTCCCTATCAGGTGAGCTTTCTGTGGAGGAGCTGCTGCAGCAGTATGCAGGGGCTTATGCCTCTGATGCTTCTGCTCCAGGCTCTGGGAGTAGCGAAGATGATGAGGAGGAGGTTGAAGCCAACAGTTCTGGCTGTGAACCAGAAGAAGCAAGAGAGGCTGAAGAGGCAGCTGAAGATGACTGTAGTGACCAGTCAGGTGAGTATGTGGTCCTGAGACTAGAACTGGAGAGGGCAGGTATTGGAGGAATAATTACTAAACTTTCATCTTGTGATTTAGACTCTGCTGAGGAGCAGAGTGAGGATGAGGAAGATGATCATTCAGAGGAGGAAGAAACAAGTGGCAGTTCACAATCAGAAGAATCTGAGCCTGATGAGTCAGATGATGCCCAGTCACAGAGGAGTGAAGCAGATGAACAGGAGGAAGATGAGGAAGATGACGATGATTTTGGGGTGGAGTACTTGCTTGCTCGGGATGAAGAAAGGAGTGAGGCAGATGGGGGAAGTGGTCCTCCCACCCCAGGTCCCACCACCACTCTAGGCCCAAAGAAAGAAATTACTGATATTGCTGCAGCAGCTGAAAGTCTCCAGCCCAAGGGTTATACTTTGGCCACTACCCAGGTACCCATAGACTGCAGTTTCTGCTTTCTCATATCTTTTTTTTTTTTTTTTTAACGTGTTTTGGCTGCATGTGTGTCGGTGCGCTATGTGCGTGCAGTGTCCGCAGAGGCACAAAGAGGGCATCAGGTCTCCTGGAACCGGAGTTAAGGATGATTAGCTGCCATGTGGGTGCTGGGACCCAAACCCAGGTCCTCTGCTCTTACCACTGAGCCATCTCTGAAGCCTCTGCTTTCTCATATGTGGACTTTACTGTTTTTGCTGGCTCATGCCTCAGTTCTACCATGTGTGATAACTCTCTTCCCATCAGGTGAAGACACCTATCCCTCTGCTCCTGCGGGGCCAGCTCCGAGAGTACCAACACATTGGGCTTGATTGGCTAGTTACAATGTATGAGAAGAAGCTGAATGGCATTCTTGCAGATGAGATGGGACTGGGGAAGACAATACAGACCATCTCTTTGCTTGCTCACTTGGCCTGTGAGAAAGGTAAGTATGCTGGAGACCCTTTTTGTGGCCTCTTGGTTATCTTCCTGGGGGATCTTGTTTAGTGGTGACTCCACCTGCACGAAAGGAAATATTTGTTCTCTTCTTTGTAATCTCTTTGAATCTAGCTTGTAATGATGTAGGGAGAATAGTATGTGTGCTAAGATCTTAAAGTAATAGGGTTTTATTTAAAAAAGAACCAAAACTGCAGGGTTTACTTGCTGTCTCTCTTCTTTTGCTGAACAGGTAACTGGGGTCCCCATTTAATCATTGTTCCCACCAGTGTGATGTTGAACTGGGAGATGGAGTTGAAACGTTGGTGCCCCAGCTTTAAAATCCTCACTTACTATGGAGCTCAGAAAGAGAGGAAGCTCAAGCGGCAGGTTCGATCTTCTGTGTAGTCACTTTCCCTATTGATGCCTCCTTCGTTTTTAGTTACTTTCCCACATGAGTTACTTTGCCTCAGCTTCCTGTTGCTCCATTTTTCACTGGTAGTTTTTCATTTCTTCCAACTTGGTTTCTGTCCTTGAGTGCCTTAATCTTCTCTTTTCCCCTTTTTGCTTTTCTCTTCCCCATCCCATTATGTGGTGCTTTCTCTTTGGCCCCTCAGGGGTGGACCAAGCCCAATGCTTTCCATGTGTGTATCACATCTTACAAGCTGGTGCTGCAGGATCATCAGGCCTTCCGCCGCAAGAACTGGCGCTATCTCATTCTGGATGAGGCTCAGAACATCAAGAACTTCAAGTCCCAGCGTTGGCAGTCACTGCTCAACTTCAACAGGTAGAGATAAAAGTAGAGATTCATGGGAGAGTTGACTTGGCCTAAAGTGTTGGCTGCCTGGGTTAAGGGGGCCAGTGTAGTGGTGCATACCTTTAATTTTAATCTCAGCACTCAGGAGACAGACAGGCAGATCTCTATGAGTTCAAGGCCAGCCAGGGGTATAAAGTGAGACCCTGTTTCAAAAAAACAATTTTTTTTTTTTTAAGTATATTATGTGTGTTCAGAAAGTTGAGATTTTCCTGACCATTCTTTTCTTAATTCCCTCTCTTTTTATAGCCAGAGGCGCCTGCTCCTGACAGGAACACCATTGCAGAATAGTCTCATGGAGCTGTGGTCCTTGATGCATTTTTTGATGCCTCATGTCTTCCAGTCTCATCGTGAGTTCAAGGAATGGTTCTCTAACCCTCTAACTGGAATGATTGAGGGCAGCCAAGAATATAATGAAGGTCTAGTCAAACGCCTCCACAAGGTAGGTTCTGTATTGTTTGTTAAGGTATTAGGAATGGCAAAGCCTTAGGTCATTGCTGGACTGAGCTCAGTTGTCAAGCTGTAGTGTTCAGGTGACCAACCCATTGCCAAATTGAGCAGTCTTGTCTTAGTCCTCATTCTACTTGTTTTCTTTGGTTAAGGATGTTCTCTCTCTCTCTCTCTCTCTCTCTCTCTCTCTCTCTCTCTCTCTCGATCTTTTGAGACAGGGTCTCCATGTAGCCCCAACTGGTCTGGCACTCGCTATGTAGACCACGCTGGCCTCAATCTCATAGAGATCCTCCTGCCTCTGCCTCCTGAGTGCTGGGGCTATCTCATTTTCTTTTACTGAAGCAATGTACTTATTAGACTGTGCTTAGAATTCTCTCTATGTCTTCTCTCTTACACTGAGACTGAACCTAGGGCCTTGTGCCTGCTAGGCAAACACTCTACCACTGATCTATATTGCTTGGCCCTTTTTTCTTTCTTCTTTCTTTTTAGGTTTGTCTGTGGCTCCTTTTGCAATTTTTCACCTTAGTATTTTTTAACATTCTGATCCTTTTTTAAAAAGACTTATTTTTAATTTTATGTGTGTTTGGCCTGCATGTATGTATATATGTGTACCATGTGAATGCCTGGCACCTGTAGAGGCCAGAAGAGTGCTTCAGATTCTCTGAAACTGGAGTTATGGTTGGTTATGAGCTATCATGTGGGTTCTGGGACCCAAATCCAGGTCCTCTGCAAGTGCTTCCTGCTCTCTACTAATCCATCTCTCCAGCCTCAGATTGATTTATTGCTTGATCAGTTTGTGTGTGTACACATGTATGTGTCAATACCCAGGAAGGCCAGAAGTAGGCATCAGATCCCCTGAAGCTGGAGTTAAAAGTGGTTGAAGATGCCTCACATGGGTGCTGTGAACCAAACTGTAGAACCAAACTGAAAGAGCAACAAGTGCTCTTAACTACTGAGCCATTTCTCCAGCCCCATTCTGATCCTTTTAAAAATCTTTCTCAAGATTTGTTTTTAGAAATTATTTTAAATTATGTATATGTGTGTATGTTTGTGTTTGGGTATGTGCAGGTGCCTGCAAAGGACAGAGGTGTTGGATTCCTCTGGGGCTGGAGTTAACAGGAACTCTAGATTTCTGTAAGAGCAGTAACATGCTCTCAACTGCTAAGCCATCTCTTCAGCCTCCTTTTTTTGTTTTTCCTTAATGGAAACAGCATCTTAATACATTGCCAAAGCTGGCCTTGAGCTTAAAATTTCTCAGCCCCTACCTCCTGAATGGGATATAGGGATGAGCCACCAGTCATTCCTGTCTCTGACTTGATAGCTTTAGTTGACAGTTCCTCTGAAATTTATTCTGGTGTTAATCTGTTCATCTCGGTCAGTGATAAAACCAATCTAGAAGCTATGAAGCCTTACTGTACTTTTAAAAAAATATTTATTTTTATGTGTATGAGTGTATTCCCTGCATGCAAGTGCACCTGTGGCACGCAATGCCTGCAGAGGTCAGAAAAGGGCGTCATCCCCTGGAACTGGAGTTGGGATGGTTGTTGGCTGCCATGTGGGTACTGGGAACCAAAGCTGGGTCTGAGCTATCTCTCCAAGTCTTATAATACTTTATCCTCTTCCTTTCATTAAAGTGTTGAAGACTGTCTGGTGAGATTTTATATCCTGATACTGCAGGTTTACTTTCCTGTCCTAGACTGTAAAGACTTTTCTTTTTGGGTGCTGGTGATTGAATCCAGGGCCTTAATGCATGTTAATCATACTCTGTACCACTGAACTGTAACCCAAGGCCATAAGTTTTACTCTAGCTTCTCTCCTGGATTATTTTTGTAATTTATTTATTTATTTCTGGGGAGGAGGCAGTCTTACTATTTGCTTAGGTTGGACTTGAACTCCTGGGCTTGTACTTTGCTTATGTCTGGAATTATAGGCACATAGGCTCCCATGCTTGGCTTATTTTTGTAGTCATGTAACATAGTCATTCCTTCAAATGTATTTGGAATCATCTCTTTTTTGTAGTTTGCTCTTGGTGCATCTTTATAACTGTATGTTGTGGTACAGTCATTTTTGTGTTTGTCTTCTGTAGAAGGTAAGCTATGTGACAGGAGGATTTGTATTTGATTCATCTGTGTGTAGTAGGCATACATCATGACTCTGCTGATGGATTAAGACAGTACTCTGCCAGTCATAGGGCCAAGACCCATTTAGATGGGTCAGCCAGGACTTAAGTGTTTACTCTTCTCCTGTTAGCCTCCTGCTTACTTGCTTTTAGGTTTTGCGTCCTTTTTTGCTACGCCGAGTTAAGGTGGATGTTGAGAAGCAGATGCCCAAAAAGTATGAGCATGTTATCCGCTGCCGGCTCTCCAAGCGCCAACGCTGTCTCTATGATGACTTCATGGCACAGACCACGTAAGGGAGGACTAAGAATGGGCCCTGGAACCTTGGGTTGAAATGCAGGTAGCTGTCAAGATGTACCCTATTTATTTTTTCTCTCTTCCCAGAACTAAGGAGACACTAGCCACAGGCCATTTCATGAGTGTCATCAACATTTTGATGCAGTTGCGGAAAGTCTGCAATCATCCAAATCTGTTTGACCCTCGACCTGTTACCTCCCCATTCATCACCCCAGGCATCTGCTTCAGCACCGCCTCTCTGGTGCTAAGGGCCACTGATGTTCACCCACTCCAGGTATGTAGTTACCCCTAAGGTTAGTGATTTCTTCCCAGGCCTTGTACCTCTTTTCTTTAGTTTTTGATCTTTTACAGCTTTACTACTTCCCTCATTTCATCTACTCAGTACTATTTCCCTAGCTGATTGCTTTCTAATCATGTGACTTTCGGCAGGCTAATTATTAACCTAGTCCTTGTCCATCAAAACAGGAATTATGAAGCCTGTTCAGCAATGTGCCTAAAAATGAAGTTAACATTTTTAGAAATACTTGGCATATATTTATAAATATTTTGTAAATAATTTTTCTTACTCTTTCCCACTTTTTTGAGATAGGCTCTCATGTATTCCAGGATGGCCTTAGACTCCTGATTTGAGGGGATTATAGATGTGCCATTATACCAAAATCCTTTATCTTTTTTTTTTTTGGTCTTTTTTGAGGCAGGGTCTCCCTGTAACCCCAGCTGACCTGGAACTCACTATGTAGACCAGGCTAGCCTTGAATTCACAGAGATCAGCCTCCCTCCAAAGTGCCGGGATTAAAGGTGTGCGCCACCATGCCCGGCCTTATTTTGACCAATTTTAAGTATGCATTTCTGCAATATCAAGTGCATTTATATTGTGCAGTGAACACCACTGTCCATCTTCAGAGCTGCTTTCATTCTCAAACTAAAACACCCAATAATCAACTGCCTGTTCCCTTTTCCTCCCAGCCCCTGGTATCCACCATTCCATTCTTGTTACTGTTATTCTGAATACTTGAAAATGGAATCATAAAGTGCTTGTTGTCCATGCACATTGTAGCATGTGTAAGAATTTCCTTTTTTTTTTTTTTAAGTTAAAATAACTTCTTAAAGAGAATGTTTGGTCTGAGGAAGCTCAATTGGTAGAGTGCTTGCCTAGCATGCACACAGCTCTGAGTTCAATTCCCAACACCTTGTAAACTGAGAGTAGTAGCCTATACTTGAGAGGAAAAATAGAAGGATCAGAAATTCAAGGTCATTATTAGCTATGTAATGAGTTTGAGGCCAGCCCTAGAATTGGTACAATGAGACCTTGTCTCCATCCCCCAAAAGAGGGACAGGGTATGTTGATCAGTCAGGTCATAGTGACATTCACAAGTAATCCCAGCAAGATCTTGTCACATACCCTCCCCCAGTAAATAAAAGCTGTTGATCATCAAGATGCCTATAGGTAATAGGAATGTAGAGAAAAGGCTACCCCAAACACTCTCTTAACATGTATTTGCAATCCCAAAGAAATGTGAACTAGGCCAGTAGCTCTTGGTGGAGCTCTTCCGTTACTCTTCTTGCAGTACAAAAGGCAGAAATTGACTTTCATATTTATCTATAGTCTGTGAAATATAGCAGGCTGTCATATCGCTCATCAGTTCCCTAGTTCAGGGTGAAAATAGAAATACTAGACTTTCATCAGAATCATGGAGCCATTTTCAAGATGTAAACCTTGGCAGTAGCCAAACCCCTTGTACCTTTAGCACATTTAAATAGTCTCGGGGAACCCAGTTGGTAGCTATCATTGGAACCCAGAAAATAAAGTTATGAAACCTGCATCTTAAGGGCCTGGAGAGATGACTCATTGATTAAGAGCACTGACTGCTTTTGCAGAGAACCAGAGTTGGAGTCCCAACACCCATATGGCGACTAACAACTGTCTGTAACTCCAGTTCCAGGGGACCCAACTCCCTCTTCTGACCTCCAAGGGTGTTGCAGGACATGGGTGCACTTAGATACATGTAGACAATAAATTCATAGACATAAAATAAAAATATAAAAAACCTGCATCTTAAGCTGGTAAGGTGACTCAGTAGGTAAAGACACTGCTAAGTCTGATGACCTGAGTTCGATCCCTGGGACATGGTAGAAGGAAAAATCCAGCTCTTGCAAGTTGTCTGACCTCTACAGGCATGCTCTGAGACACGTGTACCCACAAATGTACATAAAAAAGTTTGCACACAAATTAATAAAAAATTTAAGGAATGCATTTCACCTTGGCCCTTTCCCATAGTCCCTCTTCTCTCCACTGGAAAGAAAATAGCAAAACAAAACCTAAAATTTCCTTTGTAGTTTAGGGGCTAGGATTGGCAGTTTTCCAAGGTACAATGTTGATGTCCATTGCAGTAGTATTAAGTGCCATCCTACTACTTGGACATTAGTAGGTGAGCAGAATTCTTTTCCACCTTGACCAACTGTCCTGTTTAGGGGAGGGCAACAGATAGGACTCACAAGGCCCACAATTTTGTCCACTTCACTTCCTCACTTCTCTTCCAGAATATATGCTAGCCTTACTTTGACTTTGAAGAATTGGCTCACTGTGGGGGCTGGCAGCCTGGGAGTTTTTGTAGGGCTGGCCAGCAGGGTGGAAATCAAGGAATTCCAGGTGAGAGCTTTTGTTGGAGAAGCCAAAGCCAACAGGGCTGCAGATGCTTTTCTCAGGCAGATTTCATTTATTTTTAAGACAATAATATTTCATTGTGTGGATAATGCCACATTTTGCTTATTCGTTTATCTTTCAGTGGACATTTGGGTTGCATTTACCTTTTTTTTTTTAACTTGTTTTTTTGAGACAGGTCATCCTTGAACTTAAGATCTTCTGCCTCAGCCTCCCGAGTGCTGGGGTTATAGGCATGCACTGCCATACTCAGCCCCCCTTTAGACTTTTATTAATGCTGCTGTAAACATGCCCACGCAAATAATGTGTTTGAGTCCCTGCTTTCTGTTTTGGGTGTGTGTTCAAAAACAAAGTTGTTGTATCATGCAGTAATTCTAATTTTTTGAGGGGCTGTCTTATATTTCCATAGCAGCTATACATTACATTTCTACCAGCAGTGTTACAGGTGATCTGTTCATGTCCCTTCCAAAGAATTTTTATAAACAGTAGCTGAGTTAATGGGTAAAGTGGTATTTCATCGTAGTTTAGGTTTATATTTCTCTGATGATTAGTGGTGCTCAGAATCTTTTCATTGCTTGTTGGCCATTTGTATATCATTGGAGATAATGTATTCAAATAAAAGTTGTGTCTTTTTTTTTTTAACAAGGGTTTTTTTTGGTTTTTTGGGTTTTTTTTTTTTGTCATTGAGCTGTTACTCTTTTTATACTTTGGAAATTAACCCCTTGTTAGATAAGTGATAATGCTGATACCTGTCCCGTTCTGTGGGTTGCCTTTTACTGTTGGTGTCCTTTGATGCACAAAAATTTTAAATTTTAATATAGTTGAGTTTATCAATTTTTCTTGTTACCTTTGTTTTTGGTGTCATATCCAAGAAATTAATAGCACGTTGGTTCCATTAACCCCATGCTTTCTGTTTCTTCTTGTGGCAGAGAATAGACATGGGTCGGTTTGATCTTATTGGCCTGGAGGGTCGTGTCTCTAGATACGAGGCTGACACATTTCTTCCCCGCCACCGCCTTTCTCGCCGCATACTGCTAGAGATAGCTACTGCTCCTGATCCCCCACCTCGTCCCAAGCCAGTCAAGATGAAGGTTAACAGGTACCTGGATTCAAGAATAAGATGATGGGCTTCTTAAAAAAGTAGAGGGGGTTGGGACAGAAAGAGTTGTAAGCTAGGTTAAAGTTGCTATGTAGGTAGCATCAAAGTGTTCTGCAGGGATTGGGGAAGCAGAGCAGCTAGAATAGAGTTCTGGGAGGGACTCCCATGTTGCCGACACTCTGGTCTTTCTTCACTGGGAGACTTCTGGTTAGCTCTGATTTTTCTTTTTCCCCTTCTTTCTCCTTCAGGGGTCTCCTTTCCTTCTCCCTTTTGCTTTTGTGTTCTTTCTGCCTTATTTTCTTTTGTTGTTTCTTACTCTCCTTCTGTATCTAACCCTTTGATTTTTTTTTTTTTTTTTTTTTTTTTTTTTTTTTCTCTCAGGTGTTCAACCCAGTACCCACAACAAGAGAGCGCACACGAGGT